GTATTGAGTGCTAGCTCATTGTGAGGTCAGATTGATTGTGTATCGCACATGATAACAGTCACATGGGGGACTTCCCCCTGCTCTTTGAGCTTTTCTCGAATTGTCAGGTGCCGGGGTTATCGCTTTTCACCTTCATAAGTTCTCCTTATTAAAAGCTTCCTGAAGACCGCGAAACCTACCCAGCCCTTCTGATTTTCAATGGATTGGGGGGGGGCAACTTGTCAATAGTCTATTGCCTTCTTGTTGCTTGCGTTTTCATTAGCACATTTATTACTCGTTAATTTCGCTATAGAACGCTGTCCGTTAGCGGCTCCAGTGGCCGTCTTCTCTCTTAAATGTGAGTACTTTTAGTTTCAGGTTAGGCAAAATGCCAATTCAAATGCCAAAACCACAGTCTCAACATCGTCATCATCGCGTCGATGCGCTTTGGGACAGTAATGCTGATAAGTACCGTGTGGCATGCAGATCTGTGCATGTTATGAGGGTGAGTTCAGATTCGATGAAATTGGCTTTACTTACTTATGTTCCGTGAGGGGTAGGGGGCTGGCATGCGGTTTAAAACGCTCAAAAAATCACGAGAAACATATTCTAGTGTAAAGGTTTAGGACTGAAGCAGGCGGCACTGGGTTAGTGGCAAGCTTTTTTTTTCGGGGGACGTCCTCCCCCTTCCATAGATTATGTTATAAATCATAAGAACACGTACATTATATAAAAACCTGAAGAAACAACGTAGGAGTAAAGCTGGTAGCAGCTCGTAACTTTGAAGGACTCTTTGAGCCAAACTGGCATTAGAGCAGACTGTGCACCGCAATGCCCCCTTTACTGGATGAGACCACCTTTACTTTCTTCTTTTCCGAAGTAAGCTTACTATTAGTAGTCTGGTCATATTAGTTTGCAGTTTCACTGCTCTAGATGTAGTAGGGGTATATTCCAGCTAGGGGGCATCATGATGCAGTTTTTTTCAGAAAGCTACGGTAACTCCGAGCCAGGGGGAGTGTAGCCAGTCTAGGGGGTGGGGGGGGGGGTGAGGCAGTCACTTGACATGCGTGAAAAGCTGGAATGTTCGAGTTTACACTAGTTCGCCGAGAAACTGCATCATGATGCCCCCTAACTGGAATAGACCCTGCAGTAGATACGTATCGCCCCCGCCAGAGAGCGCAGAGTTGTTTTAAAGGGGCTGAGTTCAAGTAGTCCGTCAACCGATAGCGCCGAAAGACTGAAATGCTTTGCTTTCGATACTAGATCTTGTAAGGGAGTGGTTCATCGAAGCAAAATTCTGGAGGTATCTTTGCCATGGATTGGCACATAACCATGAACTTCAAGGAACTCGAAATCCTTCCCACTGTATTGCAATTCCTGAGTTGACAAATGTGGGCGAATCTCATTAGATGAGGCAGAAACTGTAAATGGTACTTTTCGAAAAAGTATCAGGGATTGGTCAACATGTGATCTCTTAAAGAGTTACACAAAGCCACCATCGTATCAACAACTTGGTGAACCATCCTAGAAGGATTACAACATGCTTGATCTCCGAGCTTTACTATTTGCCGTGTGGCGTTTACCGACCTAGTACTGCCAAATTGTATATTTTTGTTATTGTCCATAGTTGTTCGTCACAAGCATACTGCGCCTCTGAAATTCAGGCCACTCAATTCATTGGTTATGGCCAACTGCTGGTGATCGGATTGTTCACCGCCGCATTGCTTTTCTTCTATGGAAAACATCTCAACGTGAGTTTTCTTCTTTCAATTTTGTGTCTTTATTTAAATTACGGGTGATGATAACGGGTTTTTGGTAGCTATCTTCAAAAGAAGTCCGTAAATACTTTTTTATAGGGTGGACTTCCTGAGGATCATTGGTTGGCATCCGCAGGTGGTCGCTACATCACTTCTCTTCTCACAGCTGTTTCCCTTCAGCTGTCTCTGGTGAGTGATTTGTTTGTAAAAACAATCCCTTTGGTATTTCTTTCCATCAAAAACACTCAATTCAACGATGGCATTGTAGGTTTTGATGATGCTCCATGGAGTTCGCTCTCAGAGACGATCGTTTTTACTGCCGTTCATAATCTTCGCATCATTCGCTGTGTTCCTCGCCTTCATCCAGGTAATTGTTTGCATTCGCAAAAAGTTTAGAACAGTTCTCCACTTCTGAGATCCACTTATCCCTTGTTTTCTTTCAAGGTTCTCTGCAGGGTACACTAACCCTGCAAGCTGCTTTTGATGAAGCAATTTACGATTTTTTTTGGTTGGGCAGGTGGTGGGGTCTTTTGGGGTGTAATTTATGAGGCGTTCATTAGTTGATTCCTGTTGTCATCAGGATAGTAGTTCCAGAGAGACGATTGATCATGTAGAGCAATTAGGATACCTAAGTTTTAGGCCGATGTCAGACTTTGCGATTCGCTCGACGCGCCGGTAGTGCAACGCGACCGCGAACGCTAGCGAATCGCTCGATTCGCAAAGTCTAACATCGGCTTTAGACATGCAGAAAGTATAGCATCTGATGTCCTTGTGCCTTCATGACCAAAAAATTGTAGACATTCGACAGTTTGGAGAAAATTATTCTTTCCACTTATCAACTTAAATTTGACCTATTGGGTTTGCCCTGTCGTCCATAGGGGAGCGCTAAAAGACTGACAGAAGTCAGTCAGTTCTTATTATTTAGTTCTGGTATTTCGTTTCCTTGCTTCCTAGCAATAGGCAGCATAATAGATGTTAAAACATCACTTAAGATTCACAAGTCTACAATTCTTTGAATCCTTCAGCCACTATTCTACTTTAGGTTTCGTCTGATTTGGTCGCTGCGTCTCAGGCACGTATCGGTTCCTCATCTGGGCCGCAACTTCTAAGCCATGTCATCGGAATGTGCGTTCATGTGTGGTGTGTCGCTGTAGTTTGGCGCTGCTATTGCTACTTGGGAGACAAAAAGGTATAGTTCCGAATCCGATTGCCAACTTTGAATCTGTATTTAGATAATCAGATAATCAGAATTCACGTTCACGGTTACAGGTTGCTGAACAGATCGGCGAACAACTACAGGCTACATCATTGGCATTTGCATACGAATACACTCAGCCACCTCCATATGCCGACACCATAGAGAAAAGCCCACTTACGATTGCATGATTCACAAATATTCCGACTGTATCACTGATCGATACTGTTTTTGTCTACTTATATTTCTTTAGCACCCCCCTTAACGGGACCAATATTACATGATTGCTCTTAAATTGTCGCTGGTTTTCCGATTATGACCTATATAGTCAGATTGAACATCGTGTCTCTTCTCTCTTTCTCGTCCGTATTTCCATCATTACTTTTTCCCTTTTCTCTTCTTTAAAAGAAATCTCCGGGTTTCTTAATATTGTAGATTATTGATTGGTTGATAATGAACGTTGAGATGAATGTTGAACCGAAATTGGGATTCGGTTCCATGATCCAGTACATTTTTTTGCTCTTTGAAACATCTCAAATCTTCACAAACACTGTTTTGTCCCACAACCTCTGGTAGTGCGATTGAATAAGAGTGTACAAATTTAATAATACAAATGTAATAAACTCTGCTATAGCATAGTGCTGTCGAAAACATTAACGATATATTAGTGCAATGATGGTCATCTGTGGAGTAGGGGGGGGGGACGCTCGACTAAAAATTGATGGCGAAAATCTATACAAGAATCGTCTTGAAGACCAAATATCACAACGAAAGAGAGGAGCTAGAACAGCTACACGAGACAGCTGAGAGAATGGTAAACAACTAGTCATTTTTGATATCGACCGATCATCTTCAGTACAATATAAATAGAATTGGAATGAGACAGGAGGCGAAAAAGAGTACAAAGCTCAATCCCGTTGAAAAAGTTCCACCTTAGGAAAACTGTACTAACACAATGCAGGGGAATTATTGAGAGTTAAGGGGGGAAGACTTGACGGTCGGTTTTAAATGGCAAACCAACGACAAAACAAAAACGATTACCCACAAATAATGTACATCAAATAATCTAGATATAAATATTTGTGTAACTCAGTGCCTGTAACTATAATCTACTAGAAGTTGTACCATTTCTTCTTTTCCAATTTTTCCACCAGTTTTCCAGTTCGCTGCGAGAAGTTCATCGCATTATTACGAAGATTCTCGGTGGCGTCCACTGTTGCGCTCAACTTCTCTCCTCGTTCGGAAAGGTTCTGAAAAAAGTGATTGGCTCAAAGACTACGGGAAGGACTTGAATGACCAGATCACAGCCATCTAACCTGTAGCGCCATCATAGCAGCTTGGCCTGCAGACACACCACCGCCCTGGACTCGCTCCATGTTCGTCGAAGGTCCGGGAATCGTTCTTCCTACCGCGCGTGTCGCTCCTCCTCCAATACCACCACTTGCTTTTTCACGATCTGCTACTGAAATAGGAGAGAACTTGGACATAAATCACAAATTAATCATAATTAAAAATTTATTCCAATTCCCCTCTTCAGGAACGAAAAATCCGTTGGCCAGGAATAGCTGCACCACTGGCGGCAACAGCCAGCCTTCATTTACTCAGTTGTGGTCAACGCTCACTCCAGCTGATGTCTTTTTTCTGTTTACCCATTCCAAAATTCCCAACTACAATGAGATCCTCCCAATAGGAGATGACTGTACCTTAAAGGACGAATTCACGATGAAAAAGCAACCCATTTCAAATTAACCTAGGGAT